ATGTATCTATCGCACAGGTCTGTTCATTATCTATCGATCTCACAGTCTGTTCATGATCTATCTATCTATCTATCTATCTATCTATCTAACAGACTGATCATTATATATCTGTATATCTCACAAACTGTTCATTATCAATCTAGCTACCTCAGTCTGTTCATATCTATCTATCTATCTATCTATCTAACAGACTGATCATTATATATCTGTATATCTCACAAACTGTTCATTATCAATCTAGCTACCTCAGTCTGTTCATATCTATCTATCTATCTATCTATCTATCTATCTAACAGACTGATCATTATATATCTGTATATCTCACAAACTGTTCATTATCAATCTAGCTACCTCAGTCTGTTCATATCTATCTATCTATCTATCTATCTAACAGACTGATCATTATATATCTGTATATCTCACAAACTGTTCATTATCAATCTAGCTACCTCAGTCTGTTCATATCCATCTATCTATCTATCTATCTATCTAACAGACTGATCATTATCTATCTGTATATCTCACAAACCTTTCATTATCTATCTAGATACTTCAGTCTGTTCATATCTATCTATCTATCTATCTCACAGACTGTTCTTTATCTATATGTATATCTCACAAACTCTTCATTATCTATCTAGCTACCTCAGTCTATTCATATCTATCTATCTATCTATCTATCTATCTATGTTTTCACGATAAAATTAGTATTAGCAAACTGATGTAGATATAGTTTTCTACCAATTTATGAGAAATACACCTAGAAATGTTAAGCTTATAAAATATATAGTCTTTCTAAAATTATTGATAATCACTTGTTTGGGAATCTTGAGTTTTATTCTATAAACAAATGAAACGCAGTATAGAACTTCATTTATCAAATATTTTATTAGATAAAGGCCTCAGAAAAATATATTTTTCATTAATATAACATAATTTATATATAAATAAATTACTTTTGTTTCCATATTAATGTACGCTCATTGACATATAACGTTCATTAGTCTTTCAACCATAGATTGGATTAGATATCTTGAATTGGTCCATCTTGACCATTTCTGACAGTGTTAGTGTTTCCAGAGATAGTCTTTTTTATACTGTTGCTACCTCAATACAAGGCATGAGTGACACAATGTTGAGAACTATTGAATGAGGTTCTTGTAAATGCCTAAAAGAAAGAAGTACATATTATGAGGATATGTAGAATAATCGGTTGATATCTATCTATCTATCTATCTATCTATCTATCTATCTATCTATCTATCTATCTATTTCAATTGGTTTAAATCTATCTATTTATGTAGGTACCTCCACTTTTTCGCGGAAAAAAAAGCGTGGCATGGTGAAAAAACTCAATAAAAACAAAATTTTGTCATCAAAATGTTTATGTTATTATTAGAAAAAAAGACCAAAGTATTTTTTTTATTAATTTTGGAAATTTTTTTAATCCTATCTAGCACGTTCGAAACTTTAGTTAAAAGTCTTGTTTTGTTTACGTCAGTGGCCGACGTCATAATAACGATTATTATATTATTATTATTATTATTATTATTATTATTATTATTATTATTGTTGTTGTTGCAATATTTATTTGCATTTAAAATACAAAATGTGGCACAAGGCCGAAAAGGGGGATGGGGAATGACGGTCTTCATCTGTCTTAAATCTAAACTTAGCTAGTCGCAGACACTGACCCAAACATGCCAACAATAATCCAATCACCAAAACAACACATTCACTCCTACCTTTCTTACTACGTCCACCATAATACCTCAGTTTCTCTATGAAGTCCTAACTAGTCCCCTTATTTACAGATATTGTTCATGAGGGGAGGGTCATAAAATAACAACTTTTAAAATCCCCAAATGAATATTTACAAAGTGAATTATTTACAATAAACTAAACAAAATTAAGTTAGTAATAAAACCCCCCACAAACTATGAATGTGGCAGAAATATCAGTTAACCGGACGAAATCGATGCGGGACTAAGAAAATAAGAAAACATTCAAACCATCAAGCATTCACACAAACACTCACTCATTCATACACAACAACAAATACGAAAACACACACACGAAAGGCGCCCCGCATCCACCAGAAAACTGACATCACTAACCACCTAACGAGGGAGGGGATGGGGAATTAAACAAAAGAAGAAAAAAAATAGGGACAGAAATAAAAGGGACCAATGAGCTTACATACCCTAGCTAAGTTAACCGGGAAAAAAAAAAAGGGAAACTAAAAATTCAAAAACGAAAACCTAGTCTAGCCTAATATCTGGGTGGGTTGCCTATGTTCAACCCTGTTAGGACAAAATTCTGTACCTAACCGACATCCAAATGCCACTCTAGGTCAGCCCCTTTCACTCTACACATTCGCGCAAGATTCACCCACCTTTTGCCGAATTCTGATGATGGGAGCCGCCGCCTTTCCGTCCTAATCTTGACTTTAAGCTGATGCTTAAAGTACAAGATCAGTTGGGAAGAGGTTAACTTCTCGCCTTCATAGAATCCCTTCTATCGCGTCGTCCAAATCACGACTCGCATAACCCCTAGTAAGCAACAGAACACAGTGTTCAGCCTTCGTCAACTGCGATACCACATTGCTACAAACAGAACTGGCTTCCAGGACAAAAAACTTTCCCTGCAGCATGCGAACCATGAGGCCTTCAACAAACTTGCACAACGGCACTACCGTCTTGCACTGAAAAAAAGGCGTGACCAATGGTCTCGACATTCCCAGTACAGCGACGATAGTTTGATATTTCTCCAAGCCTGCTGAACAAAGTCTTTTGCCGACCCAGAGGGCCCCCACGAATCATCAGCCAGGTGAGTGATGCCTCATCGTTATTGAGACATTTCAACCCAGGCGCCCAAGGCCATATCGAGCGAGCCTCCTGCTTCGTAAGACCGAGCTCGTCGATCAGACCATCTTGAACGGACCCCCTAACTAACAAACGATATAATGCCTTACGAGACACACTGAAAAACACACTGATTTAGAAATTCTTGCAAAAATCAAATAGTTTTCGGATTTTTATGGAACTTTCAGGATATATTCAGAAATTAAAGAAATTATTTTTTAATTTTATTTAGAAAAACTAGGTAAAGTGTTGTTTTTTTTTTGGTGTTGTGTTTTTTTACATATCTATCTATCTATTTCAGTCTGTTGACATCTGTCTATATATTTATTCAGTTCTATCTATCTATCTATCTATCTATATATATATATATATATATATATATATATATATATATATATATATATATATATATATATATATATATATATATATATAGAGAGGAGAGAGAGAGAGAGAGTCTGTTGAAATATGTCTGTTCATCTATTTAGAAAATATCACAAACTGGAAAGTTTGTTTTTTTTTTTTGTTTTCTGTTTTTTTGTGACACGTTTCATCCGTTTGAATTTCAACGGACGGAAATATCAATTGTCTTTGTTGATATATAAAATTATACAAAATTATATATCGTTATATCATTCTATCTGTCTAAGACTGTTGTTATCTATCTATCTATCTATCTCAGTTCTTGATATCTGTTTATCTATCTACGTTCATGTTTTCCCAATGAAATTGGTATTAGCCAGCTGATGTAGATACATATACAGGATATACTTATAATTATATCAGAAATATACCTTGAGAGTTTTAGCTTATAAAATATATATTCTTTATAGAATTATTGGTAATGACTTGTTTTGGCAGGTATGAGTTTGTTATTTTTTTTTTTAATAGAATATGATGGAAATGTAGGTCATTATCTTCGGTGGGCGCATCACGAATTCTAGGCTAGACAAAATATATATATATATATATATATATATATATATATATATATATATATATATATATATATATATATATATAGGAAAACTCGCTTGAGGATGAAATGGAACTAATGTCTTTAATTTAATTACAAACTTAAATTCTAAGATTTTAGCTTCCATTTTTTGAAACATGGTTAGAAACGTGTAACGAAAAAAACCATATTTTAAATCAATTAATTTATATTAATGATCTGTAAATTTACAATGAGCCATATTTTGTAAAAAAAATATCTGTAAGAACACCGGATTATATATCTTACTGTTCTTTTTTTTTTTATATATATATATATATATATATATATATATATATATATATATATATATATACTAATGTGTCTCTTGGAAAACATAAAGTGTGGCAAGAGAAATATAATCTGTGGAGCAGAACAAGCTTCTTTTGCGATGGATCGCACATATGAGTTCTACTTGAGGTTTGCGGTGAACTTGAGTCCCAGTAGAAGTGAAAAGCATGGAACTTCGTTGAGAGTTCCAGGGTTCATTTTGACGGGACAAATGCTCAGGGTCCGATCGGTTGGGATGAAATATTATTGGCCAGTTTCTTCCCCTATTGGGCTTTTTGAACTAGATATGCAGAGAGATCAATTATAAGGCTCTGCACCTCGTGGCTTTCAGATAATCTCGATAACGCAATTAGTTTCTTTGACGAATACAAATAACAGATTCTATTTTGATATCAGCTCGGACGGAGCCCCATACAACACATAACTTTTTTTAAAAGGTATCAAATTAATCTAAATAGTTTCGCTCTTTGATAAGCTGACAAGACTAGACATGACCCCGTCCTTGGGCACAACACCTGTTGGCATTCTGGATAAACATAATCTCCAGTAAGATTATCCATATTTGTTGACATTTATCATATTTTTGTTTCTCTGATATGGCATCTGAGCCTCATGTCTAATCATCAGCGTACAGATTCAGATGGCTAAGTATTATATTTTTGAAGTCAAGAGTTGTTAGTTTCTTCTAGTTTAGCTCTGTTATTTAATCCATAGATGGGGGGTGATAGAGTCATAACTCTCCCAAAGGCATTTGTGCAAAAAGTGAAATGAATGAAGTCGATCGGGATTCGAAGTCGCTTCCTGTACATTATTTTCAATTATTTCACACCAAACATGGCGATAATATCATTAGGAGGCAAGGGGAGTGAATAAGAATGAGAAGACTTTAGCGTGGCGAATAGACAATAAAGAAAAGTATTCATGAAAACAGATGGCTATTGACGCTGCATTCAAACTTTTGATGATTGTAGTTGGCAGAGAAGCAAGAAATCGGTAGAGAATTTCACAGGCAGGAAGTGCGAGAAAAGAAACTATTAGAACAGAACATACAGTTTTATCTAGCAATTTCTAGTTGTATCTAGCAATTTCTAGTTGTATCTAGCAATTTCTAGTTGTATCTAGTATTTCAAGACTAAAACGGTAAGCACTTCTATCATTTCTGTTGTAGCATACCTACAGAAGATAATGGGTATGTCCCCATTCACATAAATACAGTAGTAAGTACTGTATGTTTGTTTGCAGTTGGTGATTCGTCTCCAGGTGTGCTGGTCAAACTCTCTGTTTCCGGGCCGAGAGGATCCCCAAACAGGGCTACGTCGAAGAGCAGAGTCTCGACTCGGAAAACAGCTACCCGCCCCCGTTTTATAAGGGGTCTACGGGGAAATTTTGGCTGAGACTACGGGCTTGGGCAGCCAACATTAAATTCGGCCTTGTGCCACATCTGACCGCGTGGGGTGGTTGGTAGATATCCTGCAGTTGGAGATTCGTCTCCAGCTATGCTGGTCAAACTCTCCGCCTCCGGGCAGAGAGGCTCCCCAGACGGGGCTATGTTGAAAGGCAGAGTCTCGACTCGGGGAAACCGCTACCCGACCCCGATTTTTACAGGGTCTACAGGGAATGTTTGGCCGACACCACTGACATCTGACCGCGTGACTGCATTTGGCGATACATTGTGGAATTCATTTGACTCACTTCTAGCAGTTGACTACTTCTTCTACACGCCGCTGGCGAATCTTATATGTGTTGTTCTTGTCCTAAGTATTATCGTTCTTACCAACCTTCGTTTGATTATTCTATTCAGTAACCTTCCTTAGGTTACAACAATTTCCTAAATAGGTTGTGCATCTCGTTGTCAAATAGCAATATTTTTTAAGAAGCAATTACTACTGTAGTGAGATCGATCCCTACCGAGTCGCATACACTTGTAGCTTTTTTATATTATTTTTTTCATTTATTCTTTGACAGCTTAAACTAAATGTTATTATTTAAATTAGTTTTAAAAAGGATAGTACTTAGTAATTACGTTGAGTATCTCACCGTGGAATAAGGATTATCGGATTGTCTATCCTTTCTAACAAGCCATTACTATTATTGATTCTCATTGGACGCCCACTGCTGATGAGTTTTGCTAGGTGATACAGATATCAACAGGCTGCTTCGTGTAGTCGTTAGCAAAAAAACAAATAATTGTACTTTTTTATCTTCTCCTCCGTACTCATTTTTTTTTACCCTGTGCCAGACGAAACCACACAGACTAAATATTTATAATGCATGGCTAATCTCTGAAGGGATGGCTGACAGAACTTGTTGGCAAGAGTATTTAGTTGGAAAGATATTGAGTTCATTTGTTCGCTTGCTAGTAGGATGTTTGTTTCGATTGAGATAAGACAGAAAATTGAATCGGTATGGAGTGAGGGAATGGTTCGTTGAAATGAAATATGAAAGGAAAAGAAAGGAAAGACAATATATTAGATTGATGGCATAGTAAACGTGAAAGCGATAAGAGAAAAGAACGCGAGGCTGCGTAAGTTTCACCGGAAAGGAAATAAGGAACGTTAAAATGAACAATAAAGGCAAAATGAAGAGAAGAGTTAACAAAAGCAAAATGGATGAAGTAAGTTGAAGAAGTCGACAGGAATCGAACGGATGGGGGCATAAATTCAATTAGGAAGGAACGTATCAATCACTCCTGGGACAGGGAGGGAGAAAGAAACTGGTGACCTTATGTTAAGATAATTTAGAGCCACAATGTAAAGACAAAATGCTCCAGAGTTGACGTCAATGTGATTTGTGGCCAATGTAATGCAGGAGGACAAAGAAAAAGTGACATTAATGCGATAAAGAAGACACCAAACCAAAAGACAAAGTACTTGAAGGAAAAGAAGAATAGGTAATAATATATCGGATCTTTTCCTCTATCAGAAAAATTGGAAAACATTTTATTATCTTCGTGTGCTGTCCAGAGAGTAAGGGACCTTCTTAAAATATTAAATACTAACCGTAAAGAACTAACAATCAATTGTAAGAAGACACAATCTATAGTCATTAGCAAAAGTGACAGCCTTAGACGCTAGCTACGTACTAGAAACGTCAAAATCTAGCAAATACAGAAGTTTTAGTATTTGGGAAGTGTTGCAACAAACGACGTAAAAATTGACTGAGAAACCCGAAGGCGAATTACAATAGGGAAAGACGCTTTTCCAAAGTTAAACAAAGTATTAAGATACAGGAGAATTTTATTACAAGGATAAGTGAACGCTGGGAAATTTCCTCACAGCTCGGGAGGAGACTTCAGGTAATATTGATGTGGTTCAACAGAAGGATACAGAGATTACCATGGACTGAACATGTGAATAACGAGGGAGCAAAAACAACACTTTTATTTAGAATCAGAAACCTTTGGAATACATAATTGTTATGGTCCGGTTCCTTGTACCACGGTGATAGTCCAAGGTAGAACCAATAAAGAAGAACGCGAACACAGGTATGGAATAACACAGATATATTACAAACAGGAATATATACAGAGAAGTAGAAGTGTTAGTATGAACAATCAGGTTTAGTAGAGAGAACAATGTAGTCTCGACCACTATTACTATTCCAATGTCTTGCAGTAATTGTCTGAACGCAACTCGACTCTTGACTCAACTTGAACTACTGACTATATTTAGTCACCCATCCCCCACGGGGGCATCATGTGGCGCAAGTCCGTGGGCTCGGCCTAAAATATGCCCATTGAACCCGTATAGAGGGGTTCAGATTCGGTTTACCTCCCCGAAAGAGACTTCGCCCTTCGGTATAGCCTCCTTCGAGTTCCTCTCCGTCTGTAGACAGAGAGGTGAACCGAACAGTCGCTCAAGAGTTGAGCGACTGACAATATTCAGTCTCCCCCACCACTGGGGCAACATGTGACACAAGGTCGGTTATTTATTGTGGGTTTTTCCTGAGCCCGTGGGCTCGGCTCAAAAATATGCCCGTTTGAACCCGCCTAAACGGGTTCAGGGCCGGTTTTACCTCCCCGAAGGAGACTCCACCCTTCGGCGTAGCCTCCTTCGGGTTCTTCTCTGTCCGTAGACAGAGAGTTGAACCGATCAGTCTGTTCAAAAGTGAACGGCTGACAATATTCAATCCCCCCCCACTGGGGCAACATGTGACACAAGATCGGTTATTTATTGTGGGTTTACCCGAGCCCGTAAGCACAGCCCCAAAATATGTCCGTTTGAAACCGCCTAAACGGGTCCAGGGCCGGTTTTACCTCCCCTAAGGAGACTCCGCCCTTCGGCGTAGCCTCCTTCGGGTTCCTCCCGCCCGTAGGAAGAGAGTTCAAACCGAGCAGTCTGTTCAAAAGTAAACTGCTGACGATATTCAGTCACCCCCCCACGAGGGTGTCATGCGGCACAAGGCCTTTTTAACGTGGGCATTCCCGAGCCATTAGGCTCGGC